ACAGTTTCCCAATTCTAGCTCAGAACCAGCCTCCAGCTCAACAGGAGCTACCAAGGCTTAGCAAGTTTAGCCTGAGCCCGAGCAATCCAGAAAGCGAAGAAAGAAGCTCTGCGTGTTTTGTTTTTTTTTGGGGGGGGGACAAGAAAACTTGCCACAATAGAGAACCCCTAAAACAGTCACAGGATTCTGAATTAGGAAAAAAAACATCTACAATAGCGAGTACTATTAATAAAGGAGGTCCAACATTAGTCAGAACTCAGGAGAGCGTCCCAGCTGCATCTCGGCTCGCGTCAAGGGCTATCACCTTTTCCCATTAAGCAGCCATATTCCCACTTGCTTTTCTCGCAACAAGATGTTCAATAGGATGCCTGAGTTAAGCACGGCAGAGAGAGAGAGAGAGTGGGAGTTGAGCTTTGCTCCGCTCCAGTCATTGTCTCATTCTTTGTTTGCCATCCATATCCGACCTTCAACAAAGAAACGTTGGGGGCATGCATGTGCACAGCCACACACACACACAGACACACAAATACGGAGCATCATGCGGCAATGGATGTTATTTATTTGGTTTCGGCCGGTGTTCAGCTACGCGATTCCTGGTGTTCACGGCACGTTTGCTGTTGGTGAAAGCAGAAGCCATTTGTATGGGCCTGTCCTGGCCAAAGATGTCGTGAGAATGCTCCAAGAGGCTGGGGCTACTGCAGGTGTACCAGAAAATTGGCCTGACACTCCGCTTGACCTCAGCAGCGCAAGGTTGCTTCTTGATCTGGAACACGCCAGAGTTCTTGCGTGGAAGGCTTGGGCTGTCCAGCAGGCAATCCGGTGCGAGGGCCGTGCCAAGCAACTGCCGCTGTTGAGAGGCGGCAGGCCTCGACAGATTGCTCCGAGCAGATTGCGGATGGCACGGCCAACGGCTGTGGTGCTAGTGTGCATCATGTTGGGATGCGCTGCGCTTTGCGCGTGGTCGATAACGTGGCGGGGCCAAGAATCACTGCATGATGTTGAAGCTTCCCTTGCTCAGGTACAAGGTGGCAGATCACTCCAGAGACCACCGGCTTTCCCAGCTCTGTTGATTAGCGTGCAAGATGCGGCTCAACAAACCGAACATCACGCAGACGCCATTGGCATGGCTTGCTCTGAAGTGCAGACTGAGCTTGATGAGCGGGCTGGCGCGGCAACCTCGAAGCACACAGCTACATTGCCACAGCATTGCGCTGCAAGCCATCTGGGAATTTCAACAAAGGAGCTGTTTTCGCAAACCGCCAGAAGCGCGCTTCTGCAACCGCCAGCCTGGCTGCGTGATGACGGGCAACCTCCTTGGTCGGCTGCCAGGCATGGCAGTAGATTTATGATGCAGCCGCAGCAGTGGAGCGAGGTGTTTGACACTGCGTACCTTGGAATTGTCCAGGAGTTTGGCAGCGATATGTCAAGCGGCTTTGGGGGCACGATTCGGCAGGGGCGCTGGGCAGATTTTACGGTGGCGTCGAAGAAGCTGAACGGGCGGGCGAATTTGGTGATCCTGCAAGCAACACTGAGCAAGCGCTGAGCCAGCCAAAACGTTTTCGGTATGTTGGGTGCCGTCGGAGGCTTTCCTTTGTCTCTGTCTCTGTTTCTGTCTGTGTCTTTGTCTGTCTCCCGTCAGTCTCTGTTTGGCTCTGGTCTCTGCTGTGTCTGTCTCTGTCTGTCTCTGTCTGTCTCTGTCTGTCTCTGTCTGTCTCTGTCTGTCTCTGTCTGTCTCTGTCTGTCTCTGTCTGTCTCTGTCTGTCTCTGTCAGTCTGTATTTCTGTCTTGCCAGCGCTTGGGAGTGCCTTGCGTTGCTCGTGAGTGCCTTGTGTGTTGCCACACATTATTTGATCATTGTTTGTTTTGCAGCTGCAGGCCGCAGCCTTGTTTTCATGTGCAAGGCAGCAACCAAGCACCAGCAGCGGGGCGTCAAGCAAGAGAAAGCCACAGACCAATGATCAGCAGCAACCTTTCCGTGGGCAGCCTGACCACACAGCACAAAGCGGAGCCGGCAGCCAACCTAGCTGACAAAGCAACCAGTGCAAGAGCCTAAAGGACAGTAGGCGTCTAGCACGAAAAAGCAAGAGGGACATAGGAGATATATCAAGCAAGCCTTCAAAACAGGACGGGGACGTGTCCCAACTAGCGGACGCGACACAGCTTCAAAGACTGAAGATAAAATCGAGCAATCCCGCTGTGATCTGCTCTGGCCTGCGTCAGAGCCCCCGGCAGAAGGGTTTTCCGGAAGAAGCGGCTGCAAGTCGCACGAGCACACCCATAGGACCAGGGTTGTTGGCTTCCATCTTTTCGAAAATTGAGCTTTTCAAAGGCAAATTCTTGTCATTGGGTCTTGAATTGTTGGCTCTTGTGGTGGTTTTCTCAGTTTTGGATGAGGATTGGCCAGCCCTCCTTTCCAGCCCAGGCGCATGAAATCGAGGCTAGCTTCAGGTTCCCCTTCAGCTAGCATCAAAAGTGGGGGTCCGCTAATTGTCGGGGGCCATCCGGATCCTTAGGCAGTATGACTTGGACCGCCCAGCTCTGAACTGGATGCTCGAACTTTGAATTTTCCCTTTATGAAGGAAACGGCAGTTTCTCACTGTTTCCGGCCCCGGAATTTAGCCATGAGACAAGATGGTGCGGCTTTTGACTCATCCAAGTTGACTGGTCATGACCCCGGGGTCCAACAAATCCAGCGCCCAAACTGGGCTTCGGTGTTTTCTTTGGCTCTTCAAATCCAATACCGGATTCAAACTAGCTCTGTGTTTTCCAGGCCCCCTTTATATTGAGCACCCAGACAAGTAGAAGTTGGACACCTGATTCTTTTTCCAAGCCCAACGGCTCGCCGTTGAGTTGGGTGACTTACCACATGAAGCTTGCCTTGACGATGTTCAGATTGGTGTGTTGCTCACCAAGCCCAGGGCTCGACGCGGTCAGTCTAAATGAAGAAAATATTGACAAGCTGTTTCAAAGAGCTTCTACATGTACCATGATATTTTTTTTAGAACTGCATCCATGAAGGGCCCCGGCCTGTTCCTTGGACGAAAGCCGGAAGCTCAATAGATGCACGAGGATTGGAATGAGCCAGATTTTGCCGGTTACCCTAGCCATTCCGCGTGCGTCCTTCCAGCGCGGGTTGAGCTCGAGCTCCACCCGGGCGGATTAAAACCGCGCCTTCGATTCGGCCGCGAACTGATCCGAACCAGCACCATTTTTTCATGACTGTTGTTTTGCCCTATTTTATACGATCTTTTGGCTCTGCCAGTGAAGTTGGTTTTTCTAGGTCGGCTCTTTCCAATGAGTCTCACTGTTCGGACTTTCCAAGTCAGCTTGTTTCATTCTCAGACTTTTGAGCAACCTACGGAGGGTCCCTTAATACCACCACGTTTTTCTAATATTTCGGATGGGGTCCAAGGGTGCCACGATAGTTAGCAGGTACCAAGGGACAATGGATCCTTCCGCACCACCTTTTGTAGTCGACCACCAGGTCCTTGCAATAATTTTCAACAGAAGTGACTGTCGCACTGCCAGGTTTTGTGCCTGCGACAGCTTCACACGACGGTTCGTGAAAGCTAACGTTTTCGTGGCGTTGGTTTGGAGAGATGCTCGTAATTACGCTCTCGCATTTGGCCCCCTCCTGTGGTTCATGGGGGACGTGATTCGGAGCCTGAGCCGCTGCAAGCTTCAGTTGTACTGGGCTCAGGGCCCAGCAGCAAGCTGCTTTCAGTCAATACTAAACATGGTGAATGTTGAATTCAGCCATTCTGTTTGGCACTCAGCCATCGCAAGCTGTGCCATGCTCTGAAACGGGTTGCCTCGAGTCAAAGTGGTTGGAGATCACATTGAAACATTGCCGTATATGTGAACACATACAATGAATTAACTTTGGCTTTTGAGCCAAACAAGTGTGCCATGTTCATCAGGGTGTTGGGCAGAATCCTGGCACTTGTTAAGATAGCTAGCATGCCTCATTTGAGTCAGCTCTCCTCTTGAGTCAGCTTTCTTATGGACAGCTTTTCCATCTTGGACTTTGACCGGGAGGTTGGTCCCGTCTTTCTTTCTGAGTCAGCTCTCTTATTGAGTCAGCTTTCTTGTGGACAGCTTTTTCACCTTGGATTTTGCCTGGGAGGTTGGTTCCGTCTTTCTTTCTGGGTCAGCTTTCTTCTTGAATCAGCTTTCTTGTGGAAGTTGACGTTTTTCGCGATGGCCAAGCACGAGCAACATGTGGAGACTCAAAGCTCACGCGGTTACAGGAGGTGTGTATATATATATATTTCCAAAAGTGAATTTCGCCTAACATGCCGCTTCAAGTGATCATGGAAAGGACTCAGTTCTTGGGGTAAGGTTAACATTGCATTCTTCTTAAAAGGGTGCATGCACGAAAGTCTCAGAACCCAACATGAACCATATCGATTGAGATTTGTACGTTTCAGCATTTGACTGAGTATTGGCCAGGCAAGTCTGGCTGCGGGAACAATGCTTTCACGCCACTCTTTCCATGTTTGCAGGGGCAGGGATTCTGTGGGCTGCTCATGTACCACCAATACAAGCTTGTAATGAGGCATCTAGCCGCAATACCAGTGGTATGTAACATAAGGCATCATGAAATGCAAGCCCAAAACCAGTTTGTGTCGAAAGCTCTTGAGCCAAGTCCTGGCAAAAAGTGCCTCCGTCATGTCTGACGCCAGGACGCGTTCCATATCGCTGGATTCGTTGGGGTCGGGGCCTGAGAGAAACGGATCGAATCGGAGCTGGAAAGTCATGCGAAAGTCATGCGGATCAACCGCTGAAGGGTTGACACATACCACCCCTTAATGAAATATTTCAATTAAACCCCTTCCCCCGTCAAAAGGGCAGTGTTGACACCTGTGCTGCGGCTGCAAGAAAGGTTTGCCTTGCAAAGTTGGCGGGGCGCCAGCTCAGAGTGCAAGCAAGCTCAAGGAAATATCGCGAGGGCAGCGGGCTCAGGTTTCCTGCCTGAAGACAGGGCGGATTGTTGAGCCATGGGTCGCCCAGAGCCTTTCCTCAGTGCTCCCAGGGAGCATCGAGCGTGTGTGATAGCACGACATGAGAAGCATGGCTACTTGCTCCTGCTCACCGGCACGTGCGACAAGCGCCACCAGTTGCCGTTCAGACACTTTGTTTCTGGGGAGGTGAGAGGAGCAGACTACCATGGCGTAGCCAAAGCCGCCGCAATTGAGGGGCTCCTCGCGCAGACGGGCCTTGATTTCCGCAAGACACCCTCACGTTTGCAAAGGAAGTTCTTCCCTGCACAAGTCCAGGAGAAGATGGGCAGAACTTGCTTCTTTGAGGTGCTGCTTGGTGATGCTGACTCTCTTTGCGGCCAAGACGTGACCAGCTCGTTGTCAGGGGAACTCAGCTTCCTGCTCAGCATCTGTGAGGAACACTTGGGTTTCAGCTTCCAGCGAGACCTTCAGATCGCAGCGGATGCTGTGAGGACTTCAGACAAGCGAGGCTCTATGGCATTGCTCGCCACCAGGGTCACGTACTCCCCGCAGACATGCTGCCTCGCCGGTATGTGTAACCTTCTGAGTGGATATTTCTGGTCAGGCCGGGAGGTGCCAAAAGCGACCAATGCGTGGAAGGGCGCCGGATACACTTTCAGGCCGCCCTTTGTGCGGATCGTATAAAGTGGCCCAGTGTACTATAGATAGTATTTGCAGTGACAACAGCTTGCCAATGAAGAAGCACTCACGCTTGCTTTGTTGTGTTCTTTCGTTGTTTCTCATGACGGCCCTTATGTGTCATGAACTCATAGGGCGATTCTCATGTTTTGCATTTGGGTTTATGTCGCTGGGTTTGGGCCTTCGGAATTAGTGGCAAGCCCGACGCTGAGGCAAGACCATGCGCCAGGAGGCGCACAAGTCGCGGTGTGCTGAGTTCTGCCTTGATCCACTTGCATTTTTCCCAACAAATTGTCCATGGGCCTGTGCCAAGCTTTCCGCGAGGTTTTTGAAAGGCGTCACCGACGCCAGGAAGCTGATCGATTGGGCGTGGAACCTCACCATGGCTTGAACAACCGGTAGCACAGGCTGCCTTGATTACAGGTTGAGTAAAATGGGGCTTATTGGGGTCTAAGCAGTTTTGGCACTTTAAAAGTCAACAATGTCCTTTTACGTGGCCCCTTTCGTATCTGCGCAGTATCCAATAGCACATGGGCGTTATGTTCTCAGATCTTGTGAGTGTCTCACTTCAAGCCAAGATGCAAGCTGAAGCCACTCGTGCGCTCTTGAACCCTCGATCGTGCAAACATGTGCTGGTAGTGAACTCCTGTGCAGGACTTTGCTAGAGTTTTGCGCTGATTTTGGGGAGTGCATCTTCTGGTTTGGTGTGTGCATGGGTTCAATAGATTCCAGGTCTGGCGGGGTCGGGAATAAGTTGGCGTATTTTGCAAAGGGTCAGACAGGGTGTCCTTCAATCTGGATGTGATTTGTCACTAGTATCATACTGTGCTCATGCGGGGTTATGGGGTGGTTCCAATTCCTTCCGCAGCTCAGGTTGGCATACTGTATTCTGTGTTCTTGCCCTTTCGCCATGGAAGACATGCGATTGTCAAGCACTTGTTGGACTTTACCGACATGAACCACACCATCAACCGCCATGATCATGGAGCCAAACCGCACGCTCCTATTGACATTTCTCGGATTTCTGTAGAACTGCCGCAAAAAGTGGCCTTGCCGAGGCTTTGAGGTTTGTACCTGGGGGATTGGGCAAGAGGGCCTGACAGTCCTGTCTCAGAATCTGGAAAACGGGGTTAGGGGCGAGGGTAGATTTCGTGGCCGGGCCAGGTGCTGGTCGAGAACTATACCTGGATTTCAATGCCCGTCGCCCCAGGACTTGATTGGGCAGTCTGGGCGCATAAACGTAAGGTACATGAACCAAAAGGCGCTGGGAGCGCTTTGGATTTGAAGAGTCCTGATTTCCTTCGGCTGAATTTGTGCCATGTGAGCACGCCCAGTTGCAGACTGACTTGTTTGAAGGCTCAGGAGGCCTCGCAGCACATTCCATAAAGCACAGGTGGCATCGGGTTTGATTCTGAGATGTGCGGATAAGGGAGCAGTAGGGGACTGGCCTTGCGAGAAGCGATCACTTTGTAGACGCAACAGGGGTGCGGAGTGCAGGTTGCAGGTTGGTTTGGCTAAGATGAGAGCAACTAATCCCTTTGGCCAGGTTGGATTGCGCAGAACGAGTTTGTTTGGTCGCAGTTGCGTTGCTTTTGGTATTGATGGTTGTACTTCGCTGTCAGGCGTGTTTCTTTGTAATTTCCTAGCTTCGGAAATGGGGACCAATGAGCTCCTTCGGTCAAGCGTTGATTTTTCATCCTCGCACCATCACTATTTTAAAGCAATGTCCCCAGAAGCTGCATTGACATGCCCATGCTGGCATGTATTGCTTCTTCCTCGCCATTTTGGAGGCTCAAGTTGTTTTGAAGCCCAGCATTTGCGTCGGTGTGCCATGTACCGAGATCTGAAGGCACGTCAAGCAATGTGTGCTTGCCTGGCATGTTGACTTTGCCTGGGCCTTGCCAGATCATTCGGATCGACGGCCGGCCCGTGGTTGTGGCGGTGGAAGAGACAGGGGCCAAGTTCTTCGGTCAGACTTCTTGTTACTTTCTTGGAGAGGCCAGTGATTGCCGATGCTCAGGCCGGAAGACTTCCCCTGCCCAACAATGGTCAGGCTCTTAGTGCTTCGTAGTGATCGCTTCAACATCATAGGGATCACACGGCGCAGCTGGCGCAGCTCATGCTGTCACTGCCAGGCGCGCGTCCTCGGGCCATCTGCTATGCAGCAGGCGTTGGGTGCCTTCATTTCCCAAGTTTTCCCAAGGCCATTAAACAAAAAACAAGTCGAGGTAGCGAGACCGTTTCTTGCCGAAAGACTTTTTTTTGCTCCTGGCCCTAAATACTTCAAAGTTCACACTTCGCTTCCCGAAGCGATCCTAATCTCGGTGTCCCCCGGTCTCCCAAAAGCGGTCCAAAGTGTGGCCGAGGTGTTTCCAGCATGTTTCATCCAACGGGAAAACTCGCCAATGCTCAAAATTGCAATTTGGCTGACAGAAGTAGATAGCATTGCTGTGAACATAAGCGCAACAGTTTTCTTGAGAGAGACCCATGTTTCGTCGATATGTTCTTCATAGAGGCATTCAGCCGAGCTGGTAAATGACTTGAGCCCTCAACAATTCATGAAAAGAGTGTCAAATGGGAACAAATCGGAAACGATTGCGCGCAGCTCACCTCCAGCCCAGCACGTGGTTCGTGTAAGCACAATCATTTCAATCGAAGGTTGCCGGCATTGTATCCTAGATTGTCCATGCTTTGCAATGGCCTTTCCACGCCTTTTTATGGTCTTTCCACGGATTATCCATGGTTTGGCATTCAAGGATGGCAGTAGGCTGCATGGTCGGAACATGTAATATGTGTCACATAGCCACATGTCCTATCAGTCATGCCTACAGATCATATGACGGTTTTCCATGTAACATCACTTGATCAGCGAGCCAATAAAACTATGCAGGACCCTGTGGCAAGCTGAACTTCTGGGGGTCCACCATGTCCACTCTTTTGGAGATCTCCATTTTACTGTCGAAAGCCGTGCTTTATTCATAGCCTTTGTCTTTCATTTGGTCTAGGCCATGTAAAATATGTTGCAGGTAGGCCAAGATTCCCTCTCTTTGTTATGGTCGAGGGACCTTTCTTTTATAACCTTTCGTTCTTTTCATGGTCGAGGCCGTTGAAAGAATCGTCGAAGCACCGGGATTTGACATAGGGACCCTTGCCAATGATTGCGACAGGCGGCAGAAGCTTTCCCTCGGTCTTGTGCCGCTGGCCTAGCGCCTGTTTGCAACCATGGAAGTGGGTAGGAGGAGGCCTTCGGAAAATTGGATGGCCTTCCCACCCTCCGACTACAGCTTACATTTTGTTTTCGGAACTACCGTCAATTTGGCGGTAGCCCTGTTCTAACTACAGTCTTTTTTCTCTGAGAATTCTATCCACTGCCTCCTGGGCAGTCCAAGCCCCGTTCGATTCGTTTTGGGGAAGTTGAGCGCCTCGTCAACGATGCCCTCAGCCACGCACTCAGGCATTTGCAACATATCGCGGGCCGAAGCATCGCCCCGCTGTGAAGCCGAACACCCGAGGAGGACGAATCGCATTGGTTTGGCTTCCTTCTGAAAGGCATTTGTTCGGGCAGATGCGGGTCGGAATTCTCTGGCAACCCTTACTTGGATTGGTTTGGATTTGGATTTGAACCCCAGGCTTTTGAGAGGGCAATTATAAATGGGAAGCCCTTCCTCAACCATACCACCAATCCAGAGCACCAGAAGCTGAAAATACTTTCATCTTGACTGCTATTGGGTTGGATCTTTAGGCTTTAATTTATTGGAAAATCAAGGGGTTGTCCACCAAACCCCAAAAAAGTTACACTTTTTGCAGGAGGGTCAACAGCAACCAAGTCATGATCCCCTTCAACTTGCATCCGTGTCATGTGCCAGGACGACTGACGACGATTCCGGAGCGTGCTAAGTCGCTGCGGCCAGCGCGGCCTGCGCGACCAGCATGGCGCCCGTGAAAAAAAAAAGCGCGCGGGTGCGAAGATCCAGGGAGAATCCAAGCCCATCAGCCCACTGATCCCTCGGATCTGGAGTGAAGTCCATTCTTGAGCTGCGCAATTCCCAGATCGGAAGACATGTCACCGTGCATCCAAGACACAAATCGCATGGAGCCCGACAGTCGCAGCGCAACATTTGAGTGCCCCGGCCCAGGCTTTCCAATCCCGCGAGATCGGAGGCTTGGGCGATGTCGGGAGAGAGAGGCCGCGATCAGCAGGTGTTTCCTCACACCACGCAGGGTGTGACTGAAAGTGCTCAACATCATATCGATATCAACTTCATGTGCATTTCTAATTTGAAGCTGATGTGTTTTTCGCAAATCAGGACGCTCTCAGGTGTTTGGCAATTTGGCAGGGTGTCCTTGTGAAGCTTTTGTCGCTCTTGTGTAACAGCCCAAGGCAATGATTCTCCGATGTTTCTTCGCAACCGCACTGTCAGCCTGCCCCCAGGCTATTTGGAGATGTTGCACTGTTGCACGGCTAGTCCTGGGAGTTCCTGATTTCCATGGCATGTCAAGAATGCCGTTTCGTTTTCCTCCGCGTGCCACAGTCACAATCGGCAGCAAGTCTTATGTTTCGTTTAGATAGTTGGGGTGTGCATGCGCGCCTTGTTGGAACATGTGCCATGATCATCGGTCGCGGCATCGCTTCGGTCCTAGTTTTTTACTCGCTTCGGTCCCAGTTGTTTCTCGCTTTGGTCCTAGTGTTGTCTCGCTTGCGTCCTAGTTTGCTTCTCGCTTCGGTCCTAGCACGCATGCGCACTGAACTGAGGGCTGCTCGCTTCGGTCCCAGCACACTTTGGAATCCTCGCTTCTTCGAAAATCATTCTCTCTTTCTCTTTCTCTTTCTCTTAGAGTGTTTACAGATAGAAGTGCACCCTTTGTTGCATCATCACTTCTTCGAATATCATGGGGGGCGGCAGCGCCCCCCCCACCCCCCCCGCTGGTGTTTGGGATGTTTACCCAAAAAAGCCTTTGTTGAATCATCGCTGCTTCGAATATCTTGGGGGGGGCGCCCCCAATCC